CATAAATCTTCCGTTTGCTACAAAGTCCAAAATTGATCTTGAAATATTTCCAAGCCCGTTATAGAAAGCTTGGATCATCTGCCACTATGGTATCCCATGATGGGGGCATTCTCTCTGCATATCCTTAAACCTTTCCCAAGCGTCATCATATAAAGACTCGTTAGCATCTTGAGAAAAATTAAGGATTGAACTTCATAATAAACTGTCTTCTCTGGGGGGATAGTACTTTTTGTAGAAAGCTAAAGCAAGAGAATTCCATTCAGTAATACCAAGTGTAGTTTTATTCAATCCATTATACCATAATTTAGCTATACTACATAAGGAAAAAGGACAGAGAATCTCCCTAATTTGGTCTTGTGTGACCCCAGCTTGTCTAATGGTGTTGCAATATTGGCAATAATCTAGAATATGAAGATTAAGATCCTCATTCTTAGTATTTCCAAATTGCTTCCTTTCTATAATGGTAATAAATTGGGGTTAAATATCAAATTGCACTCCTTCGAGATCCGGTGGAGGAGCAAGATGTGGGAGCTCTGCCAAGGAAGGCTGCGAATAATCGCTGAGCTTGCGGGGTGGGGTAGCAGTCATATCTGATTCTTGATCTGTAGATAGATTTGTGTCACTAGAATTATATGGGGGTTCCAAAGGTATATTACCTTCGAAACTAGCTCGTACTTGTCTGAAAAGATTCTTCTGTCTATGGAAAGAATATTCGATTTTAAATCGAATGAATGTAACCTGATCTAGAACCCCTGGACATAAACACAGAACTAAACAAATAAATATGAGAAACTGTCCTAAAGAACTTGCGTTCTATGAGATGAAAGAAAATAATCTAGACTACAAAATAATCAGAAATAAAAATAAAACAGTTTCCCCACCAACGACGCCAAATTTTATCAGGATAAAGTTGTATCACTTAATCAAAAGAAATTCCTAAGTCCTCTAACTAAAGTAGATAGGGAAGTAGGGTCGAATCCATAGGGAAACAACATTCTTTTATTCCTAATAAATTAATATAATCTAAATTACCAACTAACTAGTGTGATTTTAGATGAATTGAACTAAGGAAAATAATTAAACTTAAGCAATTAAAATTAAGAGAATATCAATAAACTAAAGCTTAGGGCATAAGTTCACCAATAAATTATATTCCGGGATGAAGAACAACAATCAATTATCAAGGCATTAATTAAAAAGATTATAAAGGGGTATTACAATCATAGAATTAATCTAGCAGTATTAAATCCCATCTCTCAAATCTTGACTTAACCATTTATAAATTAACTTGCCTATTGAAACTAACCCTAAACATCAATTCTCATCTGTCGAATCTCAAATCAATATTGCATAACTCATACAGTTAAACCAGGCCTAATCTAATTACATAGCATTAAATCAATTAATAGGAAATTAAACTAAAGTATTAACAATCAAGAATAATTAATCATCCCTTCATATTATTAACGAAACCCAAAGAAACCTAGAAATAAACTAATCAGACATAATTAAATCTAAGCTAATCAAAGCAATTAAAGAAGACATAATTAATTAAAGCAGTAAGATTACTAGAAATAAAAGGGAATAAAATCGTTATCAAAATAAAGGGAAAATATGAATTGCATAAAACCAAAGAATCTTGAAAGAACAAATTGCTAGAAAATCTTAAAACCAAAAATCTGGAATTTAAGTAATGAATGACGTCCTAATCTTGCTTAACAAAAGAGTATTTATACTAAACAAGAGAATCCTAACTTAAACAAAGATTAAAACAGCTCTTAAATCTCTGAAGAAAAACGCGCCTGACAGGGCGCCTGACTACCCGACCGAGTGCGCCTCCGGATGCTGATGGTCCTCCTTCCTCGCCTAGTCGGGCGAGCCTCGGGGAGAGCTTGCTTCTATCTCTTCTTCTCGCCCGGTCGGGCGAGCTTCCGGGCATGGCCTTGATTCTCGACTTGGGCTTCTTTCTTAGCCCCATTCGAAACTCTTCTTTGGACTTTCACAACTCTGGTCCATTGCCTCGGTTCTAACCCAACTTGCTAGAGTTGATTGCAAGTATTAGGTTCTTCTTCCTCGCCAAGCCCTTAATCATTGGTTTGATTACTCTAACAAGGTCCTGGGCTACGGAAAATGGTTATACGAGTGCGCTCCACATCCAACGCTCGTAGTGGCTCAATAATCCCGGAAAATGCCTCCAAATCCGCAATTTTCTATAAAATAATACCAAATCTATGAAAACACTAGAAAACACATATTAGTAATACAAATAGTTTAGTAGAGCCAAAAATACTCCTAAATATTATATGACCAAGGGGTGGGGATAAAACACAATATAAAATAGACATATCACTAACCTAGTTATAAATAAATTAATAAATATATACAAAAAGCTAAGTGTCAATTCTTGTTCGAGCAAAAAATATATTATAGAAAAAAGAAACGAAGTAGAATGATATATATTGTGTTATTGTAATATATTACCTTATATGTAGTATATATGGTTGTTTTTTTTTTATTTATTTATTTTATAGAAACAATACCTTGTATAAAATATATGAAAGATATGTTAAAATATTTTTGTAATATACTTTGTATAAAATTGTTAAATTAAAAGTAAAATATTATAGAATATAAATTGATTATCATGAAGATTTGACAAAATAATAAATAAATAAATAATGTAAAAATGGTTGGAATATTTTTAACCATGAAATGACATGTTTTACCTTTCACAATTTCTTATATGTGGCTGGCCACACCGTGTGGCCAACCATCATGTGGGTTACTTTGTTAGTGTTATAGGGGTTACTTCGTTAGTGTTATACGGTTTACTTGGTCAGTGTTAAAGGGGTTAATCAGTCAGTATTACAGGAGTTACTCGGTGAGGTTATTTTGTTCTTTTACAAGCGATCATACGATGTGGCCAGTCGCACACAAGATGAGCTGTTTACCTTTAGTATTATCAGTATTGGATTTGACGAGAGTGTTGTAAGAATCATTACAATCGATCAATGTTGGTCTATAAAGCTTTTCAAAGAGGAACCGAATGAAGAACTCCACTCTTGGTTTATATTTGACTTTTTAGTTCATGTGTTTTAATTCCAATTTTTAGCTTTATTTTCTTTATTTTTATTACATTAATGGTGATTCTCCATATATCATGTCTCCTTTAGTAGTAAAATCACTTGTGAGTTGTGAGCTTTTCCATTTCTGTTACGCTAATCAATTACTATATTCGCCTCTAATATGCATACACAAGCAAGTACTAGCAAAGTAAGCTTACGATGAAAACTATTATTCTCCAAGTCCCATAATTGATTTTTTTCACTATTTATATATTAACTTTGACCATAATTATTATTATTATTATTATTATTATTATTATTTTAATCATGATATAAGTTATTAAATATTATTGATATAATAGTTAATATGAGTAACCTCAATTCTTTATATATATATATATATATATATATATATATATATATATATATATATATATATATATATATATATATATATATATATATATTTGAAACAAATCAATTCATTAATAAAAAGCCATACGAAATCTATAAATGAAATCTAAATTAACAAATACATAAAATTAAATCAAATTATGGTTTCCTTCGTAAACGCTACGATCGTTGAATAGATTTTGCACTGTGGTACATCTCTCGCATATATCGCTAGAATATATAGCCTTTTCAAAGAGACGGTCTCACGATTTGTTGTAGCCGTAAGGATAATTTTCATCTGATTCACTTGAACGCATTTAAAAACTCGACAACCGTTGCGATCCCAAACAAATCTTTACCAATGAACTGATAATAGAGCTAAAGATGATTACCATTTTTATAAACCTTAACACACAAACAAACCCTAAGCATAAACAAACAACTAAACAAACAAAAACTAACGACTCCACTATAGAGAGACACTCCACCATAGTGAAAGGGACGAATTCTACACCACTCGTGTAGATTTATTGAAATTTAAATTGCAAAACTAAAGAAAATTAAGGGAAAGGGTCGGTAATAGTCTAATTTCCGAAGAAATTAGACTATTTTCGGCCTAAACGACCAAGATTTTGGAGAAACCCTAGAAGAGAGAAGAGAAGAGGAGAGGAGAGGCGAGAGATTTTTTTCCCCATGAGTAACCTTAATTATCCATGTTAGTAACTTTAATTTACCCATAGAAATAACCCCAATTTACTACATGAGTAACAATAATTAATTAAAAATATAAGTAATCTCATTTATTCATTCGAGTAACGTCTTTTCTTTTATTTTGACTATTAAAAGAATAAACCCCCTTGACTATAAGAGTAACCTCATTTTTCCTATTGTGGTAACCCTTCTATTAAAGTAACTCATTTGATTATCGCCACAGCCCCCCATTATTACTTAATTAATTGATATATATCAAATGCTCACAGCATGTTACTAGCCACGTTTAAAAATTTAAACTAATTATAACATTTCATAATATCAGCTATTATATACGGAGTACACTATATATATTTAAGATCAAATTAGTATATTGACATATGTGTCAAATTTGATTATTTCAATTATTTTGGGATAAATGGAGTAAGTAGTTGAGTAATATTGAACACTGTATATTACTCATATTATTTGTTAATATGAGTAACCTTAATTATTCACGTTGGTAGCCTATTTACCCATAAAAAATAACCCTAATTTACTATATGAGTAAAATAATTAATTAAGAATAGATGTAATCTCATTTGTTTAATCGAATAACCCCTTTTCTTTTATTTTAATTATTAAGAGAATAAATCCTCGTCTATAAGATAACCCCATTTTTCCGTTGCAGTAACCCCTTATTTATTAAGGTAACCCTATTTGATTATCGCCACAACTTCTCATTACTTAATTAATTTATTATATATGAAGTGGTCACACCATTTGACTAGTCACATATAAAAATATTATATTAATTATAAAGTTTAATTTTATAATATCAACTATTATATATACTCTAATAACTCTATATATCTAAAATCCAACTAATACATTAACATGTGCATCAAGTTTAAATATTTCAATTATTCGGGAATAAAGTGAAGTAACTCACCTAGTACATAAAACTTATCAAATCAAATCTCATAAATCCTGCAACATTGTATTTATTTCATCATAACTTCATACATTAAGTAGCACCACATCAAACATTAAAAAAAAAAAAATCCAATAAAATTCTTTCTTTGTTTTTAAAACTCAATAGAATTCTTAAACTAGTTCATCATTATCTTCCATAAAAACAATCCAAATCCAATGATATAGGAATAATAATAATTATGGAGAAGAGAAAGAGAAAGAGAGAGAATAGTAGTTTAAAAATGCCCATACGTTGGCTAAACCCACTCCCCTCAAATCCTTCCCAAATGCCAACGCAAAGAAAAGATCCAAAAAGTAGCGTAAGCGCCAAACTCATTCACATTTTCTCTCTCCTCCTATCTCCATCAAACGGTTGACACTACACTTCATCCACCACACTCAATCTCAAACGTTGATTTCCCAATACCTCTATTCCTTTGTTTCATGAGCCTTTGTCCCCTTGTATGAGGCGTTGCTTTGTTGTTGAATTTTAAGTTGCAGTTTGTTTAAGTCTCCTTTAATTTATTTTTTTTAATTTTCTCTCTGTAAAATTAATTAAAATTCCCCTATTAATTTTTGAGAATCCAAACACACCTTTTCTTTTCCTTTTTCCTTATTTTTATTGCTCTCTTTCCCTCCAATTATACTTAGCTCTCTCTTATAATGGTAATGCCAATCATTCACCTAAACACACCTTTTCTTTTTACTTCTTTATTCTTGTTATTATTATTTTTATTATCTTAATTATTGAATGTACAATCTCACATTTATACACACACATTTGTATGCATAAATTAAGCTAAATAATAAAAAGATTTACACCCACCTCAAATTTTATTCATTCCCACAATCTCATATTTCATCATCAGCAATGTCAATCCCTCCATGGTTAGAGCCAATGCTAGGCACTGCATTCTTCCACATTTGCCGAATCCACGGCGACGCCGCTAGGAGCGAATGTAACATGTTTTGTTTGGATTGCCATTGTGATGCTTTCTGCTACTATTGCCGATCATCCCGGCATAAGGATCATCAAGTCATCCAGGTCAGTTCAGTTTCTTTTATCGGATTTAATATTATTTTTTACTAAAAATATGACTATTAATTACGGACAGAGAGCCAGGGTGGGGTCACCCTCACCCTCCTATCTCATTATTATGGGTATGATACTGAAGACGATAATGTTGTTAATTTATAAATGTAAATGTTTTTTGTAATAGATAAGGCGATCGTCGTACCACGATGTAGTAAGAGTAGGAGATGTACAAAAGATGATGGACATAATTGGAGTACAAACGTATGTGATTAACAGCGCGAGAGTAATGTTTCTAAATCAAAGGCCTCAACCTAAAGCTGGTAAAGGAGTTGCTCATTTGTGTGAGATTTGTGGGAGAAGTCTTTTAGACCCTTTTCGCTTTTGCTCTTTGGGTTGCAAGGTATAATTATTTTTTACTCCATTCTTTTTTTATTTCTTTGCACATAATTATGAGTGAATGAAGTTTTTTTGTCAAATTCATTTTAATTTTATTGTTGTAGCTATATAAAAAGAATATGGGATAATTATTGTCTTGGAAAAATCTTAACCCATAATTGATTGCTCCGTACATTTTATTTTATGGAGTAGTAAGATTTTCATGTGTTATTTCAATAAAATTATTCTCTTTTATATTGACATTCTCATTGTAGTTTTTCAATAAATAAAAAAAAGGGGTAAATGTAAATTAGGGTAATACTTGAATTAAAATAAAAGTTGCATATCACATTCATGATATCATACGATTGTGAAATTAATTTAAGTTTTTTAATAAAATGTATAATTAGTTAATTAATTTAATAATGTTGATTAAAATGTAATATTGACAACTCATCTAATGGTGATGATCTCATGCCCACATGGATCATGAAATAAATGACCCACATGATGCAAGTCTTTAAAAGGGAAATGAAAAAAAGGGGGAAATAAAAAGATAAATCACCATCATATATAATAAGTTGATTGGAGTATTATTAAGTATAAAGTTCACCATTGATGATCATTAACAATCCTCACATGCATTGTCACACCATTGCCATCTCCATCATGCAACCTAACCAAATAACAAATACATATTATATTTAACATTGTTAACGTAAAGTTGAGTTTCTCTACATTTTTGGAATTTCTTTTTTAGTACTTGTGTTTTGCTTGCCTTGGCTAGAATATGCATAATTTGATGTGTTGCAACTTATGTATCATATCAAGTGGTAATTAGTTATGATCAAATTCTTGCTAACACTACCAATTTTACATTTTCTTATAAATTTGTTATTTACATTTGAAGTAACTCCAATTTTAGGGCTCTCCCATAGAACCGATTTATGCTCCATTTTTTGTGCTCTCCCATTTTCTTTAACTAACTAATATACAATTGTACGTATTAATGGATTATATATGCTATATACTATTTCTCTGTCACTTGCAATTTGTTCTATTTTGACAACAGTCATTCTCTCACAAGAAAAAGTTAAAACAAGATACTTTTAAAGACAAAAGAAGAAAACCGGTATATTGTACAAACCACCCTATAGACTAAAGATGGGTAGCTATACATATATACACTAATCAGATATATATTGATCAATAATGTTCGATTTTCAAATAACTACTCCAATAATATAATCCACCTAATGTGCGAGTTTGTCCTTGATAGATCTTATTGTTAATTGTTTAAATTAATGATGATTATGTTTTAAATATTTTAATTTTGATGGATTGAAATGGTTTTAGCTTGTAGGAGTGAGAAGGAATGGAAATGCAAGCTTTGCTATAGATGGGAACAATAATAAAGGTGAAGTAGGAATATCAATGACAATGAATAGTAATACAAATACTTCAAGTAGGAGAGAAAGAGAAGCTTTGCGTGAAGGCTCACAACAAGATATTTACCCGCCCACGCCGCCTCCACCTCCTTCTAATTCTAGAAGAAGAAAAGGAATTCCTCACCGAGCACCTTTTAAGTCTTGATTCATTACTTAATTAATTAATTAATTAATTTAACCTTGTTATTTAATCATTTACCTACTACTAATTATGCTTTAATTTCTACCCTTTTACATCTTCTTTTTGTGTTTATATCATAATTGTGAAAAATAAATAAATAATTGTTGTAAATTGCGGAATTATTCTTATTATTGACCAGGTGGAAAATTGAAAATTGTATTTTACATCAACTTTTAATTTCTCCATACAAATTGTTTTAAATTGCGGATTTATTACTTGTGATTTAATTTGGAATGTAAATGTTGTGTTATGGCTACAAATTTTAATATTATTATAATGTTGGGGATAATTGAAGATTATTATAGATGATAAGGTATTGAGAAGAGGAGAAATTTGATTTGTTTATTTTCACTTTTAACATTCCCTTTCTTTTCAAATTCTGTTAGTCAAGCACATTTAGATGTTGCAATACGACACATACATTATACGTGTTGTAGGCAATTAAGTATATCATTGTATTTTATTCACATGCCGCTTGAGTATACATTTGTTTATATATTAAGTATATAATCTATGTGATATCCTTTCTATTCTTTCATCAATTATTGCAAAACAATATTTTTTTTTACAAGACAAATTACGTATAGGTTATATGACTATTAGATAGATACTAATGTGAATATAACATCAACATATTAATGAGTAGTTAAGAAAAATTGTCTATCACTCGTGCAATTGCTTGTATATTGGATCAAATACCTTATGTTAAGATTAAAAGTGAATACAATAAAAATTATGTTTTATAGGATAATTAAAGACTATACATGACCAAAATGGGAAAGGTGGTAACCCCTCACCCAATCTTGAAGAGAAATTTAATTACTGATACTCGAATACACTTAGACGCTTCTAAAGTTACGCATGCATAACATTTGTTGCACAAGAAGTACATGTACCCATTATGTGTTATGCAAGCAATGTTTGAGCATACAAATGCTTGAGTGTAGAATTGAGTAGATATTGCCTCTTTATTATTCTTTCGTCATTTTCGTTTCTATATATAATTCTTATGATTTAAATAATAAATTCTTCCAATGTACTATGATTTTAGGTAGGTAATTGTTTCGATCACTCTTTTACATTGACATGGAGTGTTCCAGATGTAACCAAACAACCTGTATCCAGGATCCGTAAAAACCCTATCGTCTAGCTAAGTACCTACATAGGAAATAAGGATTAGCTAACCCCGAGATAAGTTCGGGATAACCACTCCGATGGTAAAGTTAGAAAGTGTTTAAGAAGAAGAAGAGCAGGTATTAAGGAAAAGAATAAGAGAGAGGGAGAGAGAGAGAGAGAGAGAGAGAGATCATTTAATGTTACCTTTATTTAAAGAGTTGGGTTGGTTATTTATAGTAAAATATTCTGCCAAGTGGCTGCATGCCATGCAAACAATGTACATGCTAAGTGTTGGTCATCCCACGCCACGTGGTATGCACAAAATGACCATGGCCCTTACTGTTATGAGTGAATACCGATATGAGCTTTCTGTTGTACAGTTGTAACCCGACCCATTTCAAAAAGAGTTAATATCGGCCCATATCCCTTATCGGTATCATCCCATACAACTAGCCCCCCAAGTGAGGACGTCTGTGCAACTAATGTTCTTACTTATTCACAAGTTGTCCTTAGAAGGGAGTTTTGATTAGAATTCCCTCCTTTCTATCTTAGAAGACTGAGTTCTCATTGGATTTCAATCATTGCCACTTTTAGGAGACCGAGTCCGCTTTAGGATTTAATCATTTCAACCCATGGGGACTGAGTTTTGATTGGAACCCAACTATTTCAATACCAGTAATTTTAAGTGAGCTTATCTGCTAATGAGCTTGTCTGCTGATAGCAGATAAGCTCTACTTTAGACTTAGGCTGGGAGTAAAAAATCTCCAATTCGCCCCCTAGGTGAGCTTGTCTGCTAATAGCAGATAAGCTCTACTTTATACTTAGGCTGGAGTAAAAAAATCTCCGATTTGCCCCCTAAGTGAGCTTGTGTGCTGATAGCAGATAAGATCTACTTTATACTTAGGCTGGAGAAAAAAATCTCCGATTTGCCCCCCTAAGTGAGCTTGTCTGCTGATAGTAGATAAGCGCTACTTTATACTTAGGCCGGGAGCAAAAAATCTCCGATTTGCTCCAATGGAATACTAGACGTTATAAAAAAATTTCTTATTTCCTTTTCTTTTCTTTTTGTTTTTTAGGCGGGAAGTTTGACTAGTCAAGGGACATGTGTCGTAGATCCGGCCAAATAGTTTTGAATTTACAAAATTTTTCGACCCTTGGATTTCTGACCGACCCATCACATCACCCATCTTCTTTTAAATCTATAAAAACTATATTTTCTTCCCCCTTTTCCTTTTCATCTTCCTAAAAAAACCTCTCGAAATCACACTTAAGCAAATTCGAAGCGTCTCTGTGTAAGCTTAATAGCGTCTATCAAGCATATTCAAGTGCAGTGGAGATTTGGAGTTCGGCACTTTTGCTACTTTGAAGGGCGGTTTTTGATAGAAAAAACGATGGTATTGACGAACCCTAACTTTGATTTTGCATGTTTTTGATTTTTACGATTTTAACGTAGTTGGCACTCATAAATGTCTGATAGTAGTTTTGAAGAGGAACAAACAACCCTTAGTACGGTTAGGTGTCGCCTTATTAGGCAATCTTTGGATAAAGATATCGGTAAAGTTCCAAGAACAGCGTCGTCTCTTTCTGATAACATTGACGATTGGTTTCAGCCGTTAACTGCTGAAGAACAAAGGCAAGCCTAAAACCGTCATAAGGTTATAGCTGATTGTGAGAGATCATGCCGACTTAACAATCCTGATTTACCCGACGACATTAAGATCCTTGACGTCGAGCCAGTTAGTGTCCTATATCACCTGCGCAGCTTCGCAGATAAGCCAAATCTTAATCAATACAGCTCCAACGTTGGTCATATCAGGGTCAGAACCGCTACGATGTCAAGGGTTAAGCAGACTAGTTACCAGCCACATGTTGCCCCTGACGCTTCTCCTAATAAAGCTGAACCTAGCAGAAGGCCCGATAAAGCACAGATGGTCAATTCTGATGAGTCAGAATCTGAAGATCGTGAGGTAAGCCAAAATGACGACAGGGGGTCCAAATCTCCTATGCTTGAATCTGTCGTCAACTCCGTTCTCGGCAATGAGGAAGATGGCGGTGAGGAGGTAAACCAAAATGAAGGTAGGAATGTCGGGGAGGAGGAAGATATTGTGGATATGATAGCGTAGGTTACGAAATAGGATGGCCTAGATGAAGGCTATAACTCCGAGGAGGACGATGCGAAGTAACAACATCTTATTAATGTTGATGCTAATAGCAAGGTCGCAAAAACCAAAATAAACAAAGTCTGGCATAAACTTGCTCTTGAAAAAGATTATTACCGACATGCCAAACGATTCTATCAGCTTCCTGATGGATATGAATTGACCCTGCCCCCTTCAGGGTCCACTGTGCTGGACTGTCCAGATCGTCATGTTGCCATTTACACCAAGCATCTTGATTTCGGCCTCCGCTTCCCTATTCATCATTTTATTGTCAAGATTCTGCGGGCTTGGAACGTTTGTCTTGTACAGCTCACCCGGTAGACTATTCGGACGGTAGTGGCAGCTGTTTAGAGACTTCACTAGTTGAAGCGGGATGGCCAATCTGAAGGATGGCGGTCAATTTACACAGCTCCCCACAAGTATACTGTCCACCGCAAGCTATCCAATTGCAAAGGTTGGCAAGACAAGTTTTTCTTTATGCGTGTTCCAGACGACTTCCCAATTAGAAGGACTTTCTATCGTCCTCACTCACGTTTTGATTCCATTGCTAAGAGAGGTCTTGGCGTTCAAGAACGTAGAGCCTGTGATTATTTTGGCATAGAAGAAATTGAAATTGATGAGGATACTGTACAGATAGTCCCTAGGGTGTGGCTGCCGAATGTGAAATATATTCTCGACAACACCCCTTTGTCTCATATCGGTCTCTTTATTACTAGTAGTTATGGTTGCTCTTGTGTTTTGCATATATGTGTACTAATATTTTATTTCTTATCTTTGATGTCAGATAACCCCTTGCTGCCTATCGGTTTATATCCCGCTATGTTTATTCTTACCTGGTATGAATTACTTGGTGCAGGAGTTGACAAACTAGATAGAAAAGTCTTAGGGCTATCGGCTGACGGAAAAAGAGTTTTGAAACGCTGCCTTTCTTCTCCCAAGCCTGCTTACGATACACTTGCTACCTATTACAGACGGTCTTCTTCGCAATCACGAAAGCTGAAGAAAAAAGCTAAGAGAATGGCATACGACAACGCCAAAAAAAATTTTAGCTAGACACATTGTTTCACTTGCTAACATACGTGGTGGAATGAGTGGAGCCTCTAGCTCAAGGAAAGAAGATGAGCAGGTCGCTAAAAGAGCGAAGACGAATGAGGAACATCAAAAACAGCAAGCCCCTCAGCACAAGGACCAAGACCCTCAGCAGTAAACCCAACCACAACAACAGGTACCACCTGAACGTCCTCTCCAGCCATCAAAGAAATCTGTGCCGAAAGGGGTTTCAGTGGAAGATATTGTAGATTCTCCACCTCTCATTCAGCCTACAACAATAGTTCATCCTGCGCCATTAGCTAAGGCTCATACCGGCTCTGATGTGAGCGCATCAGGTATTGTATACCGGGAAAACCAGTGGATAGAACGACCATCCGATAAGATTCTCGACGAGGTGGCAAAGAGGTTCGCTGTTCCTAACGGCAGTTCCCGGGACCGATGGCAACCAGAGCTGGATGTATGCCAGAATGGATCTATCTTTACTGACGACCCACTTCGGGGCGGTAACTTAGGATACCGGTTGCTTCGTAATCTGACTACTCGTGTTGATAGGCTCGCTAGCCTTGTCGGCCTAGTTGCTGCACAGCATATGCATGACTTAATGAAGGTATCATATCAGACTAGCATGATTGTATTTCTATCTAACCTTAATTATTTACTTTATTTCTTTTTAACGTGCTTGGTTATTGCGTTGATCACGTAGGCCGTTACCTCCAGCACCGAGCTTGTCGAGATGTATCGGTATTATCAAGAGCAACACCATCAGGCTTCGCTGAACCAGAAAACCACAGAAACGGCTCTGAAGAATGCACAAAAGGCCCTTGACGGCATTA